TGAAAGAGGAATGACATTTCTGTTCTAAACATTGTAGCCTCTGAAGAAAATCTGTTTTTGCACAATAAAGCTTATTAATTTAATATTTCTCTCTTTGTTCAGTTGTTCTACTTGTGTTGAATTTTAGACTGTAAACTCTATGAGCAGAGACAAAACCTCTCATATGTTGTAGAAAAGGTCTTCAGGTCTCAGGGCACTGGGTAGAGTCTCAGGGAATTGCAATGCTTTTCCAGCTCTCAAGGCCCACCTCAGTGACATCACAAGGGCTCATGCGGGTAATGTCACAAGGATCTGCACAGGTGCCATCACGTACATCTGCTCTCTGCTCTTAGGATTCACCCTTAAAATCTTAGGCAACAGGATGTTGCTGTCCTGGTACATTACTTGAACATCCTGCTGAAAACTGTTTTATTCACACCAACAATAACAAACCCAACATTTATAACATAGTCAACACTTCTTCCAATAAGGGAATTGTCATTTAAAGGGCAGTATCCTGTTCATTAGTCAATGAGGGGTTTTTATTAGGGAAATGTGATACATGGACCAGGCCTGATGGCCACTTTACTATTTTGTAAGGTTTGCTCAGTCATCTGTATTAATGAAAACCTGGCATAGCAGAGCTAGATTCACAGGACTGGGGCACCAGAATTTTCTGATTAGTGAGGATTAGGATATTATCTGACTCCCACTTCAGGCTCCCCTATTCCCTCAAGGTTTAAATGCAGTCTTCACTGTAGCTGGAGGAGAACGTTGTAAATTGTCATTAATGTAATCCCATAGTATTTGGAAGTGCCTTTGTCTAAAATGGGCAGGTAAACAATAGTAACACCTAGAACTACTTTATTGATATGGATTGCCTGAATTTTTATTAACCCTTGAGATGACTTCAGGGGTCCTAACAGTATCTTCAAAGGAATCTGTCATCCTTTTATCTTTTCTGTATAAGTCTTCAATATACTGTTTTCACCTTCTCTTTGTTTTATCCTGATCAGATAGTGTGTTTTCTTGTTGTTCTTCCAGCATTCCTAATCTAGGCATAAATTTCCCTTTGCTTTTTTTTATTTTCTCAAAGAGAGAAAGAGTTTTTCCTCTTTTGTTGTTCTCTTCCATTTCTTTGCACTAGCCATTATAATAGTTCTCTTTATTTGATAAGCTGCATTCGGGATTCAGACCCTACTTCTGTTGTCTTTTACTTTTGTTTCTCACCTCTCCGTCACAATTTTAAATGTCATCCATCCAGGTTTTTCTTTTCTTTTTGCTACAAGTATGTAGTGTTTTGGGTTTGGATTTTTTTTTCATTCTTTCTTAATAATATCTCTAGTTTCATAGTTCTGGTTCATGGTCAGTTGAGTTTACTAATGCAAGTCTGTTCTTTACATGGACTTTAAATTCATCAGAAATATTGTTTAAAAGATTTTGGCACTTTCAGTGCTCTTCTTCAATTTACTGTAATGCTTAATACTAAGAGTCCAGGTTCAGTACCACACTGTGCTCCTGATCTTCTTTTGGCAGACAGAATACAACTCAATCTCCTGCTTCGTTATGTAGTCAGTTTGATTTCTGTATTGGCCATATATGTACATTCATCTGTTTAATTGTTTGAAGCATGTATTTGTGATAAACACATTTCTGACTGCACATAACTTTATGACTCATTCCCATTCCACTTCTATCCCCTAGGTGCACCTCCAGTTTTCTTTGGACATGCAGCACTACCAATTCAGGCTCCTTCCATTTGGCCTTGCAGTGGCCCTGCAGGTCTTTACAAAATGCCTGGCCCCAATAGTAGCCTATCTCACAACCCAGGGAATGTCCATATTCCCTTGTATCAATAATTGGTTAGTACTATATAACTGGTTAGCACTATAGCATTAAACTGACACAGCACTAATTGAAATGCTTGTTATGCCTGGTCAGTTCCCTGCTATTTGACTTGCCAAACATTAAAAACATGGATTGGAATACTGGTGAAAAGGGTAAGAGGGTGGTAATGAGGGAAGAGAAGAATGATGGTGAAGAGGGCCTGTGTGATGTGTAAACACTTGAAATACACCTTCCCAAGATAATTAAGCATTTATGTGTGACCTGTGGCAGCAATATAAATATTAGGGTGTGGGTATAGAGAGATTCACATCAGTCCTGGATAAACCTCTGTGTGGTCTATCTCTGAGGCAGCTGCCACTGTCAGTGTAGTGTGGGTTTGGTGGCAGAGCTTAATGCTGCCTAAGCCAGCTGTTTTTATCAACCTCTTTCTCCTTCCAGCTGCCCAATCATCTGCATACTCCAGCTGCTTTTCAGAGGAGGAGAAAAAGGAAGGTTGCCACAGCACCCTTCCCCCCAGCCCAGCATCCCTGCATCACTATAAAATATCTTGACCACCTTTGTGAATAATGCCCGGCCCAGAAGACCTTTGAGGCCAGGCATTATTCACACATCGGGAAAATAAGCAGCTGGCTGTCAGAAAAAAAAAAAAAAGACATGATCACCAGTGTCTTCCTTCTCCTCCTCTTGGTGAGGAACGACATACAGCAGCTCTTCTTGTCTCAGGCGGCAGGAGCACATGTGCTGCCACTGCTATAATAGCACAAACCCTCACTAGGAACAAACGAGTTGTTTTAATCAGACATCATCCATGTTTCTCTATGGTTGGCTATACCTTTTATATTGGGATTGCTGCTGGATAGCCCAGTGTTTTAGGTATCTAGCTGCAGAGCCAAAGGTTGGGAATCCGATTCCCCACTGTGCCTTCTGTAAGTAGAGCTGGCCTGTGCAGCTTTGGGCCACTTACACAGTCCCAGGGCGCCCTGAGAAAAAGGGAATGGCAAGTCACTTCTGTGTATTCTCTACCTGGAAACCCCTGAAAAGCTCACCAAAAGGTCAGAATTGATTTGATGGCACATCATCATCATCATTATGGCTCACTTTAAAGAGTTTTGCAGATTAATTTGAGAAGAGTTACCTAGTCACCTTCTCCAAATTGCTGTTCTCTGGGGAGAGGCATTTACTGTTAATACTGTTCAATCCTCTGTGGTGGTGTGTCCAGCCTAAAAATCCAATGTATTGTTTGCTATCATATCCTTGGAGGTGGGGCAAGTACATCTAAGTCATTCTTATTTCACACTTTCAAAGTAATCCTACTCAAGACTAGGGTTAATTATTTGAGACCTCTCCTAGCTAAAACTGTCCTATACTAAGTAAACTAATTATTTATGCATGGTATTATTTTATTCATAATATGAATTAACAGTGTACTGTAGAACTCAGAACTTGGCTTTCATCTCTGTCTCTTCCTTTCTGAAACATTTTGTTGAAAAAGTATTTAATAAAATGGAAACTGAAACATGACTGTGTGATGTAAAACTAGTCCAGTTCATTTTTATCTATTGCTTTCAGATACAGTATCTAAAATAGTCAAAGAGCATATATTGCACAGAACAAAAAAGAGGACATAATGAAGGTCATTTTGTCCTTGCAAGTTTTTTCTAAGAGCTTAATATGCCTGTACGTAACTTTTTGTACTGTCATACCATCTATTGTGCAGTTTCAATTTCATGGGAATATAATTAGTATTGAACTGGCAACAAACTCTATCTATAAGGTTATTATTCTAAGGTAAAATTCATGAATCTTATGATTCTGCTGTTTAACCCTTTAGTTTCAATTTAGTGACCAAAATAGTAGAGATACAAAGCAAGAAAACTGGATCTAGACAACTGTAAAACCATTTGTGAAACAAATCAGCTTTGAACCAATTGCATCCTTGTTTTCTCTGAAAAAACAACATCCCTATGCTCTGTACTTCTTATAGTTTTGCTATATTTTAACTATGACTACCAAAGTTGTGATTTTTCAGAGTTTTCACAATAAAAATACTGCACCATATATTGCAGCATAGTTAATTTATTAATTGAATCTTTGATGTGAATCCTCCCCTTTCCAACTTGTAATTAGTTTTGGTGTTCATGCTGTAGCAAATTGCTAGGTAAAAATTCGTTTAAAAAGTTTGTCTGCATATAAGTTGCTGACCCTGTGGCAGATGGATATTGCAGGTATTTTACTGGCTATTCAGTGGAATAAATGTCTTTCTAGCTTTCAGCTTTTTGCTTCAGTTTACTGTTTCTTCATTGTCAGAGTATGACAGTGTGTGGTGTATTGCCCAGGCAACCTCAGATTACCGTACCACATGTTTTTCATACATATGTGTGCTTCCTATCCTTGTACTTTTAAGTTCTTTTTGTTCATACTCTCTATATTGCCCCTTGTGCAAGTTGCAGGTGCAGTTATCAGTGATGATCTGGTAGGCAGTTTAGATCTCTTAGGAGCATTCTAATGCAAAACTTTAAAATATATATATATTCTGAGAGGAGACAGACATCACCAGACTCATGTTCCCAAGTGCTGCTGGACTTTAACAAGCTGAGCCAGTTGAGCCAGAAATCAGGGGTTCTAGAACATGGACTCATATAAGACGCGATGAACCAAATTTGGGAACCGTTGTGCTAAAGTAATAACTATTTAAAGAGCAGTAAACATTTCCTCTTAATGTAGCTTAATGTTCAGAACATTGTGTTTGGATCAAGAAATCCACCTTTGGAAGGCATTGGCAAAAGCTTACTTTCCTGCCAGCTCCCTCAAGGGTCATGGGTCACTGGGTTGAGGGGAGTGAGTGGACTGGAGCATGGTACTGGGAACTGAGGGGGCAGGAGAGATTGGAGAAAAAGATAGGTGGAGGCATGCTTTGTTGCACTTTAAAAAGGTGCCTCACCCAGTTTTTCCGGAATCTCCCCTTTCTCACTCAGCTGCTGGTGCCATCAGGCACTCCATCGCAGGATTCCTGATCTTAGAGGAAATAATTTAAGGACAGTTAAGGTCTGTTGGGAGACTGGGTGGGAAAATAAGCTTCCATATAAACATTTTTACTGGTTGATGCCTGTATTCAACCCTTAGTTTCCTTCTCTTTGCTAATATTAAATCCACTGTTTTATTTTATCTTTTAGGCATTGGACTGGGAGTTGCTGTTCGGGAATATGGGGAACTTTCCAATCTGGACAAATTTTATTTTGCATTTCCAGGAGAGGTTCTAATGAGAATGCTCAAGCTCATTATATTACCATTAATTATATCAAGCATGATAACAGGTAAGACAAAGCATTTGAGTCTAATGAAATATTAGGGTGATATTTATTTATTTATTTATTTATTTATTTAACATATGCCGCCCACTCTACCCAAAGGTCTCTGGGTGGCTTACAACAATTAAAATAAAATAAAAAGATAAAACAATTAAAATACAATTAAAATAGATACTCTAAAAATTGCCACCAGGACCCACAGTGGATATTATTTCAATTAAAAGCCTTCTGGAACAGGAAGGTTTTGACCTGGTGTCGAACTGTCATCAGCGTCGGCGCCAGACGAATCTCAGTCGGGAGGGCATTCCATAGTCTGGAGGCAGCTGCCGAAAAGGCCCTTTGTCTACAAGCCATCCCTCTTACCTCCTTGAGGGATGGCTCTTTCAAAAGGACGCCCTGGCTATATCTTATCTGCCAGGTAGGCTCACATGGAAGGAAGCGGTCCTTCAGGTATCCAGGGCCCAAGCCTTTTAGGGCTTTATATGTCAAAACAATATATTTTGTTGTTTATCATTATTTTAATTATTCTTATTTCTGCAAATACATCTGTGTGGTTAAAAGGAGCTTTCAGCATTTAAACATTGGTCCCAGGTCATATTAACTCTATTTAAGTCAGTTTTTGTTATAGATTCACTGACTGGTGGGAGAAGACTGAATGGCATTTTCCCAGGTGGCTCAAATTAAATCCTAGAAGTCCAGGGCATGTTGGTGTGAGAGGCCAGACTGGGACTCAGCCAGTACTTGCAGACAATGGACAGTTCCTCCTGTATCTATTTACCACTCTCTTTCTTGATTAGAGAGAGAGAGTGGCAGACAAGGAAATTTCTGGTTATCTTCAATAACTGAATGATCCAAGATAATATTACCCTTTACAGGGGGTGGGAATCCTTGAATCTTTGGTTGGCAGGTCACTCTAGTATTCTTTGGGCCCATTTAGGCCAACTGGCTGAACTGAACCAACGCTTACATTGTGTGTCTGAGTAGATAAAACATATGTTCTCAATTCTTTTTTCTTTTGAAAAAAATATATAGTTCCAGCTAAATTGTTCTATCATCACAATGTCGTTAAAAACACCCTAAGCCTGTATTTGCTTATTTTATAATGTGTGCTGATGTTCCACCCACTGATACTGTCCATAAAATTAGACATGGACTTTTGTTTTGTAGTGCCAGAGTTTGATTCTGTGCTGTGCCTTCTTGACAGGGGCTGAACTCAATGATCTCTAGCAGTGGTCCCCAACCTTTTCTGAGTCATGGACTGATGGGGGGCTCTGTGCATGGGGGGCAGGGTTCCCCCACACTCATGGAGGGCCAGGGCTCCGCCGAGCTTATGGAGGGCCAGGGCATGCTCGCGGAGGGGAGGGGCACACTCGTGCACATGCACAGAAGTGCTGGGCACGCTTGCGGAGGGGTTGAGCATGCATACGTGAAATGGCAGAGCACGCTTGTGGAGGGATGGGGCACACTCGCACACATGCATGAAGGGGCAGAGTGTGCTTGTGGAGGGGAGGGATGTGAATGTCTGAAGGGGCAGAGCGTGCCTGCAGAGGGGTGAGCACGCTTGGATGCATGCGTGGAGGGGCAGAGCACAATCGCATGCATGTGCAAAGAGGCAGGGTGCCCTTGAGGAGGGGAGGGGCACATGTGCATGCAGGTGGCGGGCCATGCGTGTGGGTGGGGTGGGTGGAGTGCATGGGGGGGCAGGAGATCTGTCTCTGCGGCCTAGTCCTGCCATGGCCACGGACCGGCACCAAGCCGCGGACCAGGGCTTGGGGACCCCTGATCTATAGGGTCACTTCCAGCTCTGCAGTTCTTAGCTTAGTTTAGCTTAGCTTAGTTTAGTTTAGTTTAAGTTATACACCAGCTTTAGAGAAATAATAACAGAGAGGCTTGCAACTTGTTCAGTTCTTTCACATTTATTGCATTCTGTTCATTGAACAATAAAGCTGCTGATGTAAATGAACAGAATTTTGGAAAACTATAGCTTCTTTATTCTTTTGTGTGTGCTTTATTTGTGACTGCCAATAAATGAAGATGCAGCCATTTAACTATTGCAAACAATTCTCTTTTCTCTCCATTACTAATAATTATTATGAATAGTAAACCTTTCAGGAAGGTATGTAGCATATGAATAGTAAAATATGGATGGACTAAGTTCTACTAAAACTATAATTATTTTAGCTTTTACTTCATAGTGCCGTGTGATACATTTCCTCTTTTGATAACTAATCCCATTTAAGTGGCTAGCAGGTTTAACTCTAAATACCTATTTATGATGTACTTATGGGGACACAGAAGAAGCCTTCCCGAGGAATGTGAGCACTATGAAAACATATGGGCAGTGACAGCATTCTTACACCTTGGAAGCACAACTGAATTGCTTCTGATGAGAACAAAGATTGTATCTTTTATTTCAAGTATGATATAGGGCTGTGTTGTCTTGTTGACAAAAATGTTTGGAATGTAATGGCACTGGGGGGGAATTACCCTGTATTTTTGAAAATGTATTTTTGCAGCCGTTTTCATCACTGATCCATAACTTTTGTACCACTATTCTGAAATAAAACATTTACATTTTTCTTCCAGTGCTAGACTTAGGCCGTCCCTCCATCATAGGAAGGATGATGACTGCTCAGAGATCAGAGAACCAACTGCCCTTTGCCCTAATATATGGACATTATACATATTGTTAGTACTCATGAAAATTCTGAAAGGCAGTGTTCATTTTCAATATGCAGCTTATGATAGTGACATCACACAACAAAATATTTCTTCTAACTGTGTGGCCTTGAAGGCTGTCCTGCTTTTTTCTGCTATGATACCTTACTATACTGAAGGTTGGTTTGTTTATTTTACATGAGAGGAAACTAGGAGAATAGTTTGCAATACAAATACTATCCACTGCCTGCAGGGGGGAAAGTGGTGAAGTCTAGAACGTATGTGTGTGTGTTACTTTTGAACTACCTTTTAGGGAGATCAAGGCAGTAGACTGCCGCATTCTATATAGTGTGTGTGTATATATATGTATCTTCCCAGCAGGAGTGGCAACTTCATTTCTCTTCATCTCTTTTTAAAGGGCCGAAAGCTGATGGCAGCACAAGGAATGCTCCTGAGAGGGCAGTTCACTAAAGAGGATCTTGCAGGCATTTTTGTCTTCCCAGGATAACTTTCCCACCCTTTGATCCCTGCTCTTCAAGCACATTCTTCCTCCTCACATCTTTCCAGTGCCTTCCAGCCAGGGCTTCCATGCGTTGCTTCTCACTCCTGTGACAGGAAAGCTTGAACCAGCTTGCAAGTCCTGCCACATGCTGTCACCTCTGCTGCTACATCCCCTTCTTTTTTTTCTTTCTTCCTTGGTGAATGTTTCCTTTCCTTTTCCCCTGCCTGCTTCTAACTGAAACCTCTCCACTGTTAATTTCAGTTCTACACTCACGCATCTTTCAGTGGACTTGGTGGCCACTGTGGGGCAATGTAATGCATATTTTTAAACACATACATTTTAAATATTAGAACATTTGAATTGAATTAACTACCCTGAAGGTAATATGGAGATGGTATTTAACACCGGTAAAACTGAATATAATAATAAAAAAAATGTTGGAGCGGCAAACTATGTTGGAGCGGCAAAAAAGAGAAGGGGGCGTATTTGCATATGTGGTGGCTATGTGAAGTAAGTAAGAAAGAATGGATGCAAATTTTTAAAGAAATAAGGGAAATAACTTGATTAAATATTCGAATGTCCCCATCAATGGCTTTATTGAACATGGTTAAGAAAGATCAAATGTTGAAAGAAAGTAAAGATTTAATTGTAATAATGGTTAAGGCAGCAAGGTTAATCTTTGCAAGAAACTGGAAAAATGATAACCAATTTAATTTAGAGGAATGGTATAGAGAATTATGGGATATGGCAATTAATGATAAATTGACATGTGATATGAAAGTAAGAAGAGGCCTATCAAAAATAATGATTTTAAGAAAATATGGAGTGTATTCTTGGAATATGTATTTTGGAGACGGAAGGGGCATACACCGAGGGAAGAAACAATGAAGTTTTGTGTTGTGTAGATTGGATGTTTCTTTAATAAAAAAAATTTAAAAAAGAATTAACTACCCTGGTATCCAGTGGCCTCGGTGGCCACTGGCCGAAGCCAGCATTCATCTCCTCACAGACAGTTCATGTATTACCTGTTCAGTTAAATGAGGACAGGAGTGGGGAGGGCGATGTTACCAGGACTACTTTACCCAGGAGGCTAACTGTGCCCACCTTGCAGTGTGAAAAAGACATGGGCAGTGGGAAGACAGGGAGAGAGTTTCTTTACTATCACCCCAAGCGGAAGGCCCCTTCTTCAAGACTGTGAAATGTGTAAAAAATTAGTGAGGTTCTTCAGGTGTACAACAATGAGCAATGCACATTGGAAAAAATAACAAGCCATGTAGACAAGATGCTGCAATCAGTTAAAAAGATAGGTGATCATGTATGATAAAGGGAGGATGAAAATGGACATTGTGGTAAGAGGAAATTTTCCCATAGTTTGTATGGTTGTTAAGACTGCCTCTAAGAAAGGACAGATAACATTATAATCAAAGCAGGTGAGTGGAAGAGTGATTGGTTGTGTTTAATTTTGCAAAAATGAGAAGCTGTAGAAGTTATATTACATTTAGAATATTGTAAAGATGACATCTAGTATGCAGTATTTGCTTCCTCCCCCCCCATCTTCCTCGCTTCCTCTCTCAAGACTGAGAATCTTGCATATACAGTAGTTTTTCTTCTACTTGGGATGGGATCCTTTTATTTAATAACTTTTTAAAAATCTGCTGATGCCACTTTGTTTTGTGTGTATATACTACAGTGGTGCCCCGTATAGCGAGGTTAATCTGTTCCGGATTAACCTTCGCTATACGAAAACATCGCTGTGCAGGTAAGGAAAGCCTATTGGAATGCATTAAACTTAGTTTAATGCATTCCAATAAGCGTGCAAACTTGCCCCTCCAGTGATGTTTTCGCG